ATTGTTTGCATATATATATATTCTGGTGCTAGCATTCTCAAATAAACCTTTTCTGCAGTGAAATCTTGTTTTTTTTCACTGCACGTTCATGTGATTTTACTGTCCTTTTGGGGAGTATGTCACCTTCTTGATGTGAAGGTTTTCCGATGAAGGTGTGACAAAGTGCCGATGGAATTGCTGCTTGCTTGTACTCGGCAACAACCTCCAATTTTTGATAGATTTTACTAAAATTCTACCCACTACTTAAAAGCTCCCCTGTCCTGCGTACACATATTTGACTTTTACTATTGTTTCATTATTGTCGTTAGACAAGGTCGACTTTGGCATCCTGCAATCCTCAAGATTGGCATTTTGTGCAGCTGAACCTGCGAAAAAAGTGGTAAAACAGGACAGTTCGTAATTGTATACAACTCAACGGTTTCTGTAACTTTGTTGAACATAAATTAGGTAATGTACGCTTTACTCAAGGGAAAAAATTCTCTTAGGCACTACAATTCAGCATTTTCCCCAAACAAGTGTCAGACAGAGTGCATCCGCCGGAGACTTTGCTCGAATTCGGCCAATCAGTGAAGTCGTAAGTACACCTTGGCGCCACAGCCTTGGTGGAGGTTGTTCCAGGCGAGCACGTGTTCTAACGACAGTGGCAGGCAGGCACATGCGCCAAGGTCATCGCGCCCAAAGTCATCGCGCGCAAATCTGACAAGGGTGATGACAGTTCATCAGGTCGCCACCAGCCACGTCCCCCAATCAAGCATACAAGCAGGCAACTATTGCGGGGAGCCGTTAACTGTGATACGTACATATGTAGTAGCATAGTGACTGTATCCTATCCAAAATACCGTACACTCTCTGCTAATGAAGTAGTCCTTTCTGCTATTGCCCCTAACGCTAGATCCGCGACCGAATTCAAATCGCCACACGAAGAACATAACATCCCGGCAAATGCATCTGCTTCTACTCTACCACTACTTGGGACTTGGGACGTTCACGTGCCGGTAATCGCGTCCGCATCTTCTCAAACAATGTCTAGAACTCGGATTTTTCTTTGTTTTAATGTTTACCTTAGACTTGACAGGTGTGCATGGCGTGAATCAGCTTCAGCGAACGGCTGATTATG